CAATACATTTGCACTTCAAATCCACATATGGCCTCCAGCAAGTCATCAGCTATTACAGGCTGGCAGGAACATATACGGTAAAAGGAAAAGAAAAATCTTGTTGTTCCTGAAGCGAAACATTTAAAAGACTTCTCATTAGTGTGAAAGTATGCTCGAGTTCCACAACATTACTCACTGAGTACATTTAAGTTACCAGACGTCATGGTGTGCACTCAAGATTGAGACTCACGAGAGCAGATGAACTGGAGAAATACACTGCATCTCTGACCACAAACACTAATGTTTCACAAACCTCTCTGCAATATTGGCAAGATAAACTCCTCAACCAAAAAATAATTCTTGCATTTGATTTAGTGCTTTATCACATTGTCACAACGGCTCAAAGCGCTTCACGGGACTTGCTGTGGTGGGGTAACTGTGTTTTGCAGGTGAATGCGGCAACCAATTAATGTGTAGCAATGTCCCACAAACAACCATGAAATAAAATGTTGAATGTGGGGGGAATGATGGCCAGGACACTGGGAGAAACTCCCTTCTCCATTTCAAAAACTGATCAATAGTTGTATTCTGACCAGGAGTCATGCTACGGTTGGTGTATGAACAACCACTAAATGCAGATTTTGTTTAGACACCACAAAAACACAAGAGCATAAAACAGACAAGTTAGATTATTTTAATCAGACTAAAGTACTCCATAAAACTAAGTACAAAACAATGAATGAAAAATGCAAAAATCTGAAACACTTTTGCCATTAAAATTTAAATTTTATTTTAGAAAACACTCATTGCCCTGACTTACAGACAAATTCACATAAGTCTGCAGGTATAGGGCCCACATAGATGTTTGGAAGTACATATCCACCTAGGATATTGCATAAGAATCTTTTTGGGCTATTGTCATTATTTGCATATTGTCGCCAAACTAAAAGAAATTAATGAAAAGGAATACCCCATACTTATATAACCAGTTTGGAAAACATAGATTAAATTGCAGTGCAAATGAAAGTGGTTTTAACATTAATAAATGTAAGTTAACTTCTAATAGATTCAAGAATATCTGTGTAGAACAAATAACCACAGATATATACTTCCCATCTCCAATCCAATATCACATTATACAAATGGCATATTGCCAGCTCAATGCTAAGTATAAAATATTAAAATAGCAATTTTTACTATCAAAACTTCTGAATCCAAAATTTTATGTTTCATCATCCTGAACCTTTAATACATATTATATGAAATAGAATTCAATCATACCACATTAGTAAAGGATCTAGTGCAAACCACATCTTAAATACATTGTCAGCTATTTGACTCCTTTCCTGTTAATCATATGATAAACTCCACTGATCCCCTTGTGATCAAATTTCCTGATTTCTAGTCTCATATTTGTAGTTTTCTATATTTGTCTTATAGATTATTTAACGTAAACCATAACACAATCAAAAATTCACAAAAGAATTAAAGCAGAGAACATCTCCTGACTCTTTGACAGGATCCTATGTTAGTAGTAGGAGCATGTTGCGTAATATATGCAAAGAAGGAAACCAACATGTGCAAGTGATCTAATGTGGGAATTCCTCACGTGAGGTGAAAAGATAACAATTTAAACAGCTTCTCAAAATATTTTCCACTTAAAAAAGTGCAGCAGTTTCAGTGCATTAAACAGAAGGGAAGACTGGATATGGATTATACATTGATTTAAAATAAATTTGAAAATAAAATCTATATTGTGTGATTTATTCATAAATATCACTGAATCCTGAATTACATATAGATAGCAGCAAATGAGAAGCTGTTTAAAGAGAAATGGAACTCAAGGAAAGCTGTGGTGAACTAAATTAGTGTCTACTATTATAGTTAATGCTTTTATTTCTGATAGACTGTACAGTACTTGTTAAACAAACAAGTCTATTATGCGAGTTGTGTAAATCATGGCTGAATGGGTGCATATTATGCAAATTGTTTAAAATAAGCACACGCACACTTAGAGAGAATTTGTACCCTTAATGATAAATAATGAAAAAGATTACAGGTGTTTGAATAATCTTTTTTGTTATTTGTTCAAGGCAACATTAAGGGCATCTGTAATTTCCTCAGTACATGTATATTACCTAACAATATACACTTTACACAACTCACATAACTGACCCTAGGTTTGCAATAACAAGAAGAATTTTGGGGTGAATCCCGGTAGCTTGTTTTCTATGGATACAAGGTTGGAATGAATGACAACTTGGTTTGTGCTACAAAAACTTCTTTTAAAAAACACAATTTTAATTTGGATCTTTCAGTTCCCACAGTCTGGTTAGGGTTGACTTACCTTCAGTTTAAATCAGTTTAAAGTTAATTCTGGTAGAGCATTATACACATTAAAAAGGAACAGAAAAAATAAGTCTACCACAAGACAAATAATGCACATTCTAACAGAGGAACAGTCTAGCATACAATCCCATATATTAGGTTTGAACTAGATTTGATTGGCTATTTCTCAATTCAAGTTCAGATGTAACCTAATTAAGAATTGCACTGAAAACTGAAACACTATGTTGAGAACTAAAACAAATGATTACAATCAATTGTATGTAATTATATAATCATAACAGTAGGCCTTCTGATTTTAGGGTTTATACTCTCAATGCTAAATTCAAATTATCTTTGTAAACCTGAGCAAAGAGATCCAAGAACTTATCTTGATGCCTGGGTTGACAATTTTCTGAATCTTGTTGATTTCCCATGTTAACATTCACACTAGGAATGCTCTTCATCAATTCCTCCCATCCTTTGCCCTTAAAAAGGCTTTCCTGATTTTAACTTCTTCTATCTGAACATCCATGCCGAGAGCTGAGATTTCTCCATCTCAGGCAATGATGACGCTTAGCGTTCATTACAAGGCATGACCCTACCAGTTGCTGAAAGATCAGTAGAAAAAGGTAAGCCACAATAAATAGGCAGACGAAAGATGAGATAAAGGAAGAACATCAGAAAAGGTAAACAATAATAAAACACAGTAAACATAAAGGGCAAAAAGGTAAAAATATTGAATGCAAATTCCAGAGCTCTGCTCATTTCCAATTTCATAAGAGTCATTTTCAAATGTATTTTCCTGATTAAATCTGAAGGTTTCTGGACTTTTTAACATTTAGTGTCAAGCACTTCCATATCCAGTCAACGTGCTCCTCGAAAATATCCCACCTACCTACTGCGGTACATTTTTCCCTTTTTAACATTCCTAACATCATTCTAAACCAGATTCCTTAATTAATATTACTTTTGAGCATTCTGTTCTGTTGGCGACTGTACACTAGGAGCTAGAGTGAAGTTGCACAAACTAACCTCACACCTGACCCATCATAAGAAACAGAAAACCAGCTGAAAAGTGCAATATGCTAACTCGTCTCCTGAATTCTATTATTGCAGTAGCATGTTGGTGCAACATGCTTTTCATTGCCTCGAAGTACCAATCTATGTTATTCCGAGTTGCCAAATGATTGCCAAATGGCATTGTTGATATGTAGGGCTATCACAGTGGAAATGGAAGCACAGTATAAAAATACACTGGAAGTTATTTCCATTTTAATATGGAGGAACAATTTTAAAGGTATTTCAAGCCTATTCTGGATGCTTGATTCACTAATGCTCTGTTTGTAATACAAAGAGTTTTCACATCAGTGCAGAAGTTGCAATCTGACTTGCACCATAATGTTACATGTTGTGCCTCATACAAATAAATGTATAAATTTGTGATCCACACAATTTGGCAAACCTGAATTCATACATCTTGTCTTTTTGCCTCTAGTATCTGCAGGAGAGACATAACTTTGTTTGCCTAATTGAGTGGAGATAGCTGAAATATTCAAAGGTCTGACACAGCAGCAACAAGCATTTAGCTACAAAAATGATTTTCACAAAACAACATTTTTAGATAAGTTTTAGACAAACCATGAATTTTCAAGCATGTATATTTTTAAAAAGTCAAACCCTAAATAACTTGTTCCAGGATGACAACACTCAATGCTGCATTTTTCTTGCAGCACTGCCTCCAGCAGCAGACTCGTTTATTTCTGCCAGAAAGCAGACTGAACTGGTTGTTTCACTGTCGCTGCCAGTTTATGGAATCCACCCTAAATGTAAGCAGTGTGATCACCACAGAGAAGGCAGCTCAGAGAATCACAGAGACAGCAGCTCAGAGCATCACAGAGTAGCTTCCAATTGAAATATCTTTACCATACGCTGCAATAGAAATGTGACGTCAGATTGGTTTGGATGAATTTTTCTATTTCCTTTGATGCCAAAATAACTTGAACTCCCTATTGAAAAAAACATTAAAAATGTGACAAACACACTAAACAATGTTAAATAAAGGGAGAACATGTTAACAGTATATGAGTTTAGAGGAACAAATAGATGCTTTTCTTTTCTAATAAATAGGATTTGGCTTAAAAAGGTCAGTATAAGTATTTAAATATTCTTTAAACAGCACAGAATAGTTTCCAAAGTTTTCAAAAGTTGTTGCATGTCGATTAAGGTAGTGTTCCTTCACCACTGAGGTCTATATGTGAAAACAGATCTTAATCTGTAGCTATAAGCCAGGTGGAAGATAAACCATTATAAAGAGTATTGCTTTTCTAACCCACCTCATAGGTCGAAGACTGTACAACAAAGTGCATTTGTTTTTGCTTCTACAGCATAAAAGTTTACATTCAGTAAAGAGAAAATAGTCACCTAATTTGGACAGAGAAAGTCTTTAGTTAAAATATTTCACAATAAAATTATATATGATTATAAATCTCTTATTTTGCAATATTTACACATCACATGCATTTAAAAAAAGTTAAGGGTTTATAGTTCCACTTAATTTGTAAACCCAGCCACCAGTTTCTAATATTATTGTAGTCCTTATAAGGTTACGTCAGTTTAACATTTATCCATTCTCAAACTTCCGCATCAGACCATTGGCACTACTGTATGAAGTGCAAATCCTGATAACTGTGAATAATATAAAAATGCAAACAAGTCATCAGTTACCAGAGTTAACAATGGCAAGATGCAACTAAACAAAGGAACACAAATGATCGGATTGTACACAGAGGTTACAATGACCAGCACTAGCATAATCCTCATGTCTACATAGGTTATTGTACTTCATCATGTAACATCATGTTGTTGATCTTATGTTCGCTAAGTGTTATTGTGTTTTAAGCAGCCACATGGCCAACAAGGTAGATGTTGTCATATAGATGTCCTACAAAATCCTCATTAATGTTCTGGGCAGCACGGCGGGTGTTTCGGATGAACTCCCTCTTGGACATTTTATTCTTTACGTGTGGACTATTCAAGTCAATGGAAAGCAGAATCAAAGAATAGCAAAGAACATAAACAGCATCTGTGTAAAAGAAACAATGAGCTGTCAGCACAATTAATAATGCAGTGTTATACAGATTCACTAAATGATACAGAATTGTTATTTTGCTAATGACAACCAAATATTATTTGGCGTTGGAAATCTACATATGCACTTCAGATTGTGAATAAACAGGAAAAGCTTCTTAAACACCAGTTCATTCTGACGATCGAGTCCAACAATTATTTACTTTATCTCTGTTAATATAATCCATGTCATGAACATTTCCAATTTGATCCTGCTTCATTTAATATGTAACAGAAGAAGTAATGTTGACTGCTCCCTTTTATAAAAAAACATTATATCTTCATATGTATCATCACTATATCGTTTGTGTTTTTAATGCAAGCAATAATATAATTTAAGAATCAAGATTTTAAAGCCTATTGTTGTGGGTTCCTTTCTGAATTTTATTTCAGCTAGTTTTCTGAAAAAAAGTTTTAATCATGTATAGTTTTATTTTTTTCAAGAGAAGAAAAGGTGTCTGCCTGTCTAGATTGTATTGGTTGAAAGAGCGTAGAGATGGCATCACTCATAGATTTACAACATAAGAAAGTCAGGATTAAGAAAGGATCATTTGACCCGCTAAAACCCATCCCTCTAGTATGAAGTATTCTATCATCGCATCAAAGTGTATTTCGAATAACTCCAGTGATCTTGAGGAGAAAAACGTGGCAAAGGCAGGCAGGTGCACAGCATTCCCAGGTATTAAATATAGTTCACCAACCCGATTGGCTGATTAATGAGATTGTAAATGAGGACACGTCCTGAATACGGCAAGGCAGGTCTGATGGCAAACTGAATAAATTATATGAAATTTATCAGCCTGGTAAATACTATTCCACTTAACGTTTCTGATTATTTGCTTTCAATTCTATATACTGTAAATATCCTTGAATTGAGATAATGTCACGTTTAATTGCCAAACTCCGATCTTGCTAGTAATCTGCTTGAACATGTAATTGATCCGCAACAGATTGTTACTCACATTAGGGTTGACTTGTTCGATTTATTGGACGACAGAAACTCAAAGCTGTATTTTGCTATTCTTCATCCGATAATAAGATTGTGCAGCTCAGCTGGCCATTTATTTGCTATCCAGCATGATTTAAGAGCAAAATTAGTGTTCCTTGAAACCCCCCCCTATGTATATTGTATTGTATATATTGTATGGTTTTCATCCTGCTTTCTAAGTTAATAAATTTAAAAAATCACTATGTGCTGTTTAAACTCCCAGTAAAGTTAATCAACTTTATCCTGGAAAAATATGCATACACCATGCTGTGTTTTTGCAATAACACAGTTTAGCAAACTGATGTATGAAACTTGAGTACCATTCCCTTTTTTCTCAGATTTCAAAACAACACCTGCCTGCTACATTTCTATAAATGTTCTTCCTTTAATGAAATCATTGGCTGAATTCCAAAACCCATTATACAAATCGCCACAAGAATTTAAAAACACATTTGTTTGCCCGGTCTTTCCACATTTTAGATTTAAGTTACAAGAAGTTATAAGGTCAAATCAGATGATTACCTGGGCTGAGGCCGAGGTTTCTGGTCACAAGCGGGTTACATGTACAAAATCTGTTTGAGAATTTTGTGATAAGTGTCTCCAGATACTCTCCACGTTCTTCAGGAGCATGAATGTGCCGAAAGAACTCTCTCAGTGCATTGGGCAGGAATTGATTGCTGAAGTTGTGGAGAGTCACCAGTTCATCTAACACATCCCTCCTAGATAAAACAAAGATTACTGTCTGTAAGTGAAGAATTTTACTAGCCCAAACCACATAACCAATGTAAAAGCAAACAACAAACCTTAATTTTTTCAGGAGTGTGTATGACCATCAGAGTTCCCACATTAATGTACAAAGTGATGCAATACCCAAGACTGATGTGGATTAATCTACAGAATTTATTGCTATCAACATCTCCATTATTGTAGCATGCAACTACCAGGATGGTAGAAGGCGAAGTAGATGGACCTTAGTCTTTTTTCGTCTAGCAATTACTATGTTCCTATGTTCAGCACTCCTGGCATCAGTTAATACTTTGTTAAAATGTTAACCTGATAACAATCAAGAAACATTTACACTTTTTCTCAGCAGGGCAAATGGACTGCCCTGTGGGTCAGCAGCAAATCAGCCAGCATTCAGATGAGGTTAATAGATTCAACAACCAGTCTCTGCATCATCTTGCACAGCTCGGGCACTGGAGCAATCGGAAAAGATGCTCTGATTCCCTGCTTTGGCCACATTTGTCTTGTAACACAGGGCAGCTGTTTCTCAATTTAAAATTAAATAGCAGGTTTACATTTGAGCTATAAAAAGAAGAAAATCTATTGCTGAACATCTGAAATAAAAATAAGAAAGAAAAAGAAAAAAAAATAGAAAAGTAAAGAAATGCACAGCAGGTCAACCATCACTTGAAAACACGACAGGTTAATGTTCCTAATATTAGCATTCATCCTAACGGGAACCAGCAGGTTGAGTAGTCAATTTATAATATACATTAGTCAACCTTACTGTATGTCAATGAGATGTCAAGGTGCAGAGACATCCTCAATCCTGTGAGCCAAAATACTGATAAATAAAGGAGTTCTGTGCTCTACAAGTATTGTGCTGTGCCATTATTATTGATAGGATATGTTCAAATGTAATCTTAGGAAATGAATGATATCAGTATACATAATTTGAGTGAGATTTCTGTAGAAAATTCATAGAAATAAAAGTGCCAATTGAAGTACAAATGCTACAAGGTCAGGTTACAATCTTTAGTAGTTGTGGTTAAACTGTACTTTGTTGAACTTCATTAAATTATGACTATTGGCCAATATCCACATCCTTTAGTTTGGTATTGTACCTATGTATCAAACTCTGACTGTGAGGAGATGCTGGATTTCCTTGAGTCCCAAATTGAGGGGATCTGCTAAGCTGCCTCCCCATTCCCAACCGCCACTCCCTCCCCATCTCCCCCCCACACACCGATCCCTACCCATCCCTCCCTCCACATCTTCGAACCCGTTTCCTCCTCCTCTTTCATCGCCATCATATCCAGCACCACCTGCTCCCTTGACCCCATCCCCATCCCTCTCCTTACCTCCCAGCTCCACCTCCTTGCCCCTCTACGCTCCGACACCATCAATCTCTCCCTCTCATCTGGCACCGTTCCCATCCCCCTAAAAACAGCTATAATCATTCCCATTCTGAAAAAATCTTTCCTGGACCCATCCCACTTTCTAACTACCGATCCATCTCCAACTTCCCTATTCTTTCCAAGGTCCTTAAAAGAGTCATTGCTTCCCAGCTTCGCTCTTTCCGGAGCTCACAGCACAGAAACTACACTGGTCACAGCATGGAAACTGTGCTGGTCAAGGTCACAAACGACATCCTGTCCATCTGTGACCAGGGCTCCCTCTGCCTTCTCAACCTCTGATGCCTTCGATACCATGGACCACTCCGTCCTCCTTCATCACCTCTCTTCTCAACCTTCAAGGCTCTGAAGTCCTTGCATAATTCAGGTCTTATCTCTCACCCATCTCCAATTTGTCTCCGCCAATGGTTTCTCTTCCAGCCCCCGCCCAGTCTTGTGCAGTGTTCCTCGGGGCTCTGTCCTCGGTCCCCTCCTTTTCAACCTCTACATACACCCACTTGGTGATATCATCCGCAGACATGGGGTCAATTTCCACATGTACGCGGATGACACCCAACTCTACTTCTCTGCCTCCACCCTCGATTCCAGGATCACTGCTGTCCTGACAGACAGTCTGTCAGACATCAAGTCCTGGATGAGATCCAACTTTCTGCAGCTGAACGTCAGCAAGACCAAGGCTCCCCTGTTTGGCTCACGCCAGGGACTCCGCACCTCAAGCACTGGCAGCATTAGCATCCACTGATGCACATTCCACCTCACCAAGCCAGTCAGAGACCCGGGTGTCTTGTTCAACCCTCAACCATTCTTTCTCCCCCATATCTGTGCCATGACCCGCTCTGCCTTCCCCCACCTCTGCAACATTGCCCGACTCCGCCACTGCCTCATCCCTCAGGCCATCGAAACCCTCCTACACTCATTCATCACCTCAAGACTTGACTACGGAAACTCCCTCCTTATCAGGCTCCCCAACTCTTCCCTCCACAAGCTGCAGATCATCCAGAACTTTGCAACTTGTGACCTCTCCTGCACCAGGCTCCATGACCCCATCACCCCCACTCTCGCCCAACTCCACTGGCTCCCCATCCCTCAGAGGATAGAATTCAAAATCCTCATCCTCACTTTCAAGGCCCTCCCCGGCCTTGCCCCTTCCTACCTCTCTGACCTGCTGACCCCCTATCAACCTAGCCGCTACCTCTACTCAGTAGGCTCCGGCCTGCTCCATGTCTCCCACCCGACCTACTCTACAATCGGCGGCCTGGCTCTCAGCATCTTTGCCCCCCACGCTTTGGAACACCATTCCACAATCCCTTCACCTTGCTCCCTCCTTGTCTCCTTCAAGGTGCGACTGAATGTCCTCCCAATGTGAAAGGCGCTTTACAAATGTAATTTTGTTGTTGTTGTATCATTGTAAAATAAATTACCTGTCGTCTAAATAAACTCGAAGCTTCTTCCAATTTAGTGTTCTTGTGTAGAAAATAAATTTTCCGATTTCCTTTGGAGCATTGTCCAGTATACCCTTTCGTAATAAGTAGCCTATTCCCTATAAGGAAACACACATTGTGTAATATCTTTAAACAAAAAGAAACTGTAAAAATGTATCTTTCAGAAAAATTATTCAGTAATATTGGTGCATCCATCAATCTATTTGTTAGCAACTGTAATAAACTATCAAAAGTAGCAATGCAATATAACAATATAATGTAGTGTTCGCATATGGGCTTGTGCACATGTCCATTTCTGTTCGAAATATGGCAGTCCCCTTTCATATGAAGCAAGTACAATGGCACGTTGTTCACGTCTGCCTCATGTTGCACCATTTGTGCAACATATCAGTCATATTATCAGCGCATTTTAGCTCTGCTACTGGCAATGTGAATCTACACTAAGACTTTTTAGCTTTAGCTAATGTAAGCTTTAAGTTTAATAAATCAGCTCACTGAGATGCTACCCTGCCTGAAGGATGCTGTATAAATTCATGTTGTCATATGTCAATGGTTCTCTTCAACCGTGCCTTCAGCTCTACTCTCGACTCTCTACCCTCTCCTCGCTCCCTCTCTTCCCTCCCCTCCTCGCTCCCTCCCTTCCCCCCCTCACCCTGACCATTTCCCCCATGCTCGGGTCCCGACCCAACTGTCCAGCGCCTTGGGACGTCCTGCTGATGTGAAAGGCGCTCTATAAATGCAATTGTGTTGTTGTTATGTCTTTTACATTGCCTTTCCAATAATAATTGGATTAATAGTCCTCCCGACGTGAAAAGCGCTATATCAAATGCAAGGATTATTATTATAATAATCATTGCATTTGATATAGCACTTTTCGTCGTCGAGATGTCTTCAAGCACTTCACAGGATATACTATAAAGTGGGTTTCTGTGAGAGAAACATCCATGGAGTGAGTGATCAAATTTTATTTGGGGGATTGTTGGCCAGGACACTGGAAGAAACTCCCTTCTCTTTTTGAATAGTGCCATGGGATCTTTAAAATCCACCTCAACAGGCAGACGGGACCTGGGTTTAACATCTCATGTGAAGTGCAGCATCTCCGAAAATGCAACACACCCCAGCACTACATTGGAGTGTCACCAAAGACTATGTGATTCCAAGTCCCGACTTGGGGCTTGAAGCCACAATCTTCTGACTCAGAGCCGAGAGTGTTACCACTTCATCAGGCTGACAAGATGGAAGGATTCTTTCTGAATCCCTCTATCTTGTTACCTCCTTTTCAGCTTTGACACCTTGTTTAAAAATCTACCTATTGACTGTGCTTCGGCCACCTCCCACTAACCCTTGTTTCTCTCCCACCTCGAGTTCCCACTCAGTATTTGTCAAGCTTTTTGAGATATTCTACCTAAGTGAAAGGCATTATTGTAAGTGCAAAGTGTTGTTTTTCAAAATATTCCAGTGGTAAATTGTTCATGTCAGCCTTATGCTGCAAAGCTTCCCCTGCTTGTAAAGTGCTCTGAGACATTGTCCTGCGTGACAGTGCTATATAAGTGAAAATTATTGCTGTTGTATTAAGTTATGCATTGGTGTCAATTGTATCATCATGGCATCTTAACAGAGAACTCTTCCACTGGCATCATCCATCCACAGTACACTGAAGGATCTACTCTATACAAATAGGGGAATGGCAAAGCATACAACTCTCAGTAAGGTGGAGTGTACATCCATTTATAGTGATGCTGTCAGCACCTGAGCTGAGACGATGCTGATTGAAATCAAGCAGGGCCTCTAACTTGTCAACATTCAACTTGTGAAAGTTAGCTTTCATCCAGGATCTGATATCTGGTAGGCAATCCGTCAAAGCACACAGAATAGACAACTGCATATCAGGAGGGTGCCTCAAAACGCTGCACAGGAATTACCATGTTGGGACTGTGTATTTTTGTAGGCAACACGGCAGCCAATTTGCACAGAGCAATGTCCTACAAACACCCATGAAGTGAATAACCAATAATAAAAAGCTTTGCGAATGAAGTGATGTTTTACATTATATATTCAGTAACATAAGATAGTTAAATTACCTCATAAGGATTAGCATTAAACGTAAGGCTGCCTTCATCCAGCTGCATATAGAGTCTCCTATAATTGAAACTTGAAGCATGTTCTTTGTAATATATGGAACAGTGACCCCAGGTGGACTTGCACAATCTGAAACAAAATCCATGCTGCCGGTTACTTCTTTATTATTTTCAATTAAATATTATGCCTCTTACTTTAAGTTTCATAGAACATCTTCTATATTTTATTTAAATAGGCTCTAATTCAGATTTACACCTCCATTAATCAGACTAAGTGTTATTGTAGATGAAAGACAAATTAGTGTACTGAAACGTTTGAATCAAACACATTCACGTTTTCACTTTTTAAAATAATTTTCTATTTAATTTAGTGGAACAGAAAAGCAATCATTGTTGAAATAAATGATTTAAGACATAATTTCTCCTCTGCAATAACAATGAGACACAACCACCCTTCAATTTCTACTAACGTACATCTACGACCCTGCTTTAGTTCTGACAGGAAGCACACAATACTTCCCAGTACCATAGTACTTACCCTTGCCAGAGGACGTCATCATTAGCCAAGTCCTGCCAGACACATGAAGCCAGGCAGAGATCAGTTGCATTCAGGTATGACAGAATAGTTAAGCTGAGCTCAGGCGGCAGTAGTTCCAGATCTGGGAACCCATGTGCTTCCCTCGATCTCCCGACTCTCAAAATGTGGTAGATGTCCATCCCAAGTTGGCCATGCCTGCGGTATACTGCCGAAGCAGCAGCGGCAGCCATTGTCCTACCATGATTCCCGATATAGTAGCCTTCTTCACTGTACCTTTGGTGTTGAAACTGTTGGTTTCTTGCAACCCTCCACAGCCCCTGACCCATTTGAAAACCTGAAACAAACAATTTTTTGTTTACTAAAAAACAATAATCCTCCAGCATCTTAGACGTCATCACTGAGAAAGGCTGGGGGGAGGAGGGCACTTGAAAATTTATGAAAAAAATGGTATTTCATTGTGATAAATTATCTCCTACCATTGCAATTGGCAACATGAGTGACAGCACTAGGCTACTCTCCAGAGGCAATATAACAGTTTAGGTTGAATGACAGCCCAGATTCATGCACAGGTGATGCCCGGCTGCACTTTCAGTCAGCAAGCACCTACACTCATGCAACACAGATTCCAATCCTTTTTGTTAACGGGACTGTGATCAAGAACAGCTGTTCACTCTCTAATCCAATTCCAGATGAGTATACAAGTGTATTGGTTCAGGCGATGCAATCCAATATTAGTATCCAGAATAAAAAGGGGTTTTAATCTCTATTGAATCAATATAGATGCTTCATTGACTCAACCTGTGGCTAATAATAGATGAAAGGGAATCAATTTATTCAAGCTTTAAGGCTTTTTAAAATAAAAACAACAATTTGAATTTATATAGCTCCGTTCATATAAAATATCTTGGAATGCTTTACAATGACACAATTGGACGCTGAGCAAGAGAGGTGACCGAAGGCATGATCAAAGAGGTAGATTTTTTGGGGGGAATGAGGAAGGTACAGTGTTGCAGGATAGGGGAAATAAGAGAAAACACAGGGGGAGAAAATGCAGCCAGATGGATTTAGTCAATTATGTTCACATTAAAGTCCATGACTTCCAGACATTTGGTATCAAAAGGTACAACAACAACCACCTCCATTCAGGTGGTGGAGCCTTTTCTGGCAGGACTTGAAAAAGGGGAGAGGAGGTAAGGCGGAGGGATTGATGGAGTGTTCTAGAGTTTGGGGGTGTAGTGGCTGAAAGTGCGACCTCCGGAGGTGCAGAAAGTGGGTACCAGTCGAGTGGAAGCACTGGGTGGTGGATTGGGGAGTGAGGAGGTCAGAGAGGTAGGGAGGTGCCAGAGAGTGAAAGGGTTTGCACATGAGTATGAGGATCTTGAAGACGGTGCGTTCAGTAATGGGGAGCCTGGCCAGAACTGGTGAGATGTGGGTACGGAGTTTGGTCCAGGTATGTATGCGGGTGGCAGAGCTAGATCTTTTGAATAGAGGAGCTGGGGAGACCAGCGAGGAGTGTGTTTCAGTAATCCAGGTGGGAGGTGACAGACGCACATATGAAGGTTTCAGCTGCATTTGGGGTAAGGTACGGTTGGTGGAGGTGGAAGAAGGCAATGTGGTGGAGGTGGAAGAAGGCAGTCCTGGTCAGGGACTGGATATGGGGGGAGAAAAGGCAGCTGGGGAAAAAACGGATGCCAAATTGCGCACTGGTTTGGTGTGTGTGAGGGAGACCTGGGGAGGTTGAGGAGTTCAGATCCATAGGAGTGAAGACGTTGACAAGAGCCAAAGAGTATGACTTCCGTCTTGTCCACATTCAGCTGCAGGAAGTTTGCACTCATCCATGCCCTGGGGTCTGTTGGTACTGGAGGAGACAAAGTAGATATGTGTGACATCCGCATACATGTGGAAGTTTACAGAGTCTGTGGATGACATCACCCAGTGGGAACATATAGATAAGGAAAAGAAGAGGGCCAAGGATGGAGTCCTGTGATACCCTGCAGATACGGGACGAGAGGAGAAAGCATTTGCCGAGATGAAATGGAGGTGGTTGGTTAAGTAGGACTCGAAACATGAGGTAATGATGGAGGGGCTTGATGAGGGGGAACACAGTGGGGGCAATTATTAGTGGGAGGAGGAGCTTAAGGCTATCTTGGCTGTTCTTGGAATAGGACCTAATTTCAGACTGGCTGTGCAGGGGAATGCCAAGTGGGAAACAAAGGGAAGTCTCCTCGTGATTATCGTGATTGTGGAGTCCTGTGGCTCAGTGGTTAGAGCACTCGCTTTGCAAGTGAGAGACCTGAGTTCAATTCCAGGCAGAGGGCGAAACCTTGGGCAAGTTTCCTTACTCCACACAGAGCCTAATAATAATCCCTCCAAAAACAATAATAAATTGGTCATTTTCAATCCATATGACTGTTTGTGGGACATTGCTGTGCGGAATTGGCTGTCGCGTTCCCCCAAAATATACAGTCAATTCACTTTACAGTGTGTTCTGTGAAGTGCTTTGGGACGTCCTCCCGACGTGAAAAGCGCTTTATCAAATGCAAGGATTATTATTCTTTCTTTCTTGAATTTTGTCTGCCCTGTTGTTATTACTTCTTGGATAAGGAAAGGTTGCGGACACCAATCCTCAATCTGACATTGTGATTCATTGATCGGAGTTAAAACATTTAGACAGACTACTGTAGCATGCTCACCTTGGTATTAAAATAAATAGACCAGTACTTTGTATACACTGCACACAGTCAGAATGAGATCCTTCTGGTGTTTCCAATTGCAACAGAACAGAGAAATTACACAATTCAACAGAGGGAATGAGGCTGCTGGTCGAAGTCCTGTACAACAGTACGATAAGTAACAATGTGCTGCTCGCTGCCTATTATTTACAAACAATGCTTCCACGAGATTAGGGTTAAATGATCATATGCTGATTAAAGCAAAGCCAAAGAATGAACAGATCACTATTCACTCAAACAATGATAATCCTGTTTACATTATTATGGAAGCATGTGGCATTACATTGCATCTCCATGTGACTCAGTTTACAAAGTTATGTGAAAGGCCAAGAATAACTGCACTCCATTTACTCATAAGATAGTTATCTACTGTTTAACTCTAACAGGACCAGCAGATGAGGAAAATGTCAGAATTCTTGAAGTGATTGATTTAAATTTTCAACTCAAGTACTATAACCCTGAAACAAATTACAAAACAAAAATCACTGCATTAAATATTGACTGGAACATTCCCAATCTCAGCCATCGTTCTTTTCAGACTACTTCTCAGCTGAGAAAAGGCATGAAAAGACAAAGCAAATTGTAGCCTTCTGGATCAGAAGTTTCCCCAAACTTTCTTTTGATCTGATTCCATAGAAAATTGCACAATGGCATTCACAAACCATTTATACAGCGACTTCTAGTTTGCAAGAAGTCAACCCTATTACCTCTTCACTCTCCTTTAGACAAGGGGAAAGCCGAATAGAACCTATTAGTACATTATAGGACCTCCTCGTTTAGTCTACTGTGTGGATTGAGGTAACCAGAAGCATGTACATCCAGCTTCGAAAGAAGTCATTACAAGAATGTAACTGAGCTTGAACCAGCGGGATCCACACACAATCACAGGCAATTAAACCAGTGTTTGAATAAAGGACATTATTACAGGTATCTACTGCTCTATGGTCTCTTACCTTTTATAATCAATATCGTAACGATAATTCAACGAACGGAGTCCTTGCTCTAATTTTCGAAGGCATCCCTTCAGGTCGCCTGTTGTCATCATGCTTCTGCATCAAAGATGGGGAAGCCACTGAGAATTATCGTCTGCAAGTACCTGGAGATTTATTTACCTTCTCCCATTACAGTTTATTAAATTGCTCAGACTCAGAAAAAGAACTTACATGCCATATTAAATGCTAAAAAACAAGCACCCTACAAAAATGTAACTGATAAGAAATTAAGTAAATGGTCTGTGCACCCAAACACGGTAGGTAATCTGCACCAGCGACATCCTATAAATGTTATATCAAAAATGTTTGCTCCATCCAACACTGTACATGAATTCAACAACTTGCATGTATCTACCACATTTCTCATAGGATAATGTCTCAACACCTTTCACATAAGATAAAGGCCTTTTTCCAAAGACAGTGTGGATTGACCATCTTCCTTGGGGAAGGGCAAAAAACATCACTCCAAAGTTATTTGCAACAGAATGTTGGAATCAACTCAGGAATCACTCTATGGTGGTCTCTGTGATTTGTTTCCTGAGCCAGGCCTGTCTATAATACTGTTGGGCACTGTTGACCACCCAACCTGGTTTAACAGCCGGATTGGAGGGGTAGAACAATCATTTGGGACAGGAATTCTTCCTACTTATCTCCTGTTAATCTTACAAGCCAAAGCCCTTACTGCTTTGGTGGTCCAATCTGGACAAGCAGTGGAAGGCTTGTCAGACAGTGCATTCAATGGGGTACCTCAAACCTTGGCTCTTGCCAAATTGCATCTAATACTGCGCAGAGTAAGCACAGAGGGTGCTTCCCTCCAGAGAGAGAGAGTGCACATTTAATTCCAGATAAAGGATATTTCCATGAGTCGGTGACAACAATAACAACAAAATTATATTTGTATAGCACCCTGCACATCGGGAGGATGTCCCAAGGCGCCGGACGATCAGTGTTTCTGGGAGGGTGGAGGACCGGGTGGGGGAAGGAGGGTGACCAAAGGCACGGTCGAAGAGAAGGATCTTGAGATGAAGGAGGCAAGGAAGGGGGCAAGGTGAAGGGACTGCAGAATGAGGCCAACGGTGGGGCAGGCGATGCGGGGGACATGAAACCTGCCGGAGCCCGCTGAAGGGAAGGAGCAGGCAGGTTGTAGGCAGTTAGGGAGGGCGCAAGAGTAGGGGGGAGCAAGGCCATGGAGGGCTTTGAAAGTGAGGACCAGGAACTTGAACTGTATCCTCTGTGTGATGGGAAGCCAGCAAGTGAAGATGGGAATAGTAGGGTTGCGGAGTCTGGTGTGGAAGAGGTCATGGGCTGCAGAGTTCTGGATGATCTGCAGCTTGTGGGAAGAGTTGGGGAGGCCGACAAGCAGGGAGTTTGCGTAGTTCAGCCTGGATGTTATGAATGCATGTATGAGGGTCTTGGCGGCTTGTGGTGTGAGACAGTGGCGGAGCTGAGTGAGGTTGAAGAGATGGGGAAAGGTGGAGCGGGTCATCGTATGGATGTGGGGTATGAAGGACAATTGAGGGTCGATCAGGGCGCCGAGGTTCCATATTGGCTCTGTAAGATGTAGGAGTGCATCTAAAAAGAGAGATGCTGTCAGGGCCTGAGGTATAGGGGCGCTGATGGGACCCAACCAGGAGGCCCTCGGTCTTGCTGACATTCAACTGCAGAAGGTTGGCTCTCATCCAGGACTTGATGTTCGACAGGCAGTCTATTAGAACAGCAATGGTCCTGGAATTGAGGGTGGAGGCAGAGAGGTAGAGTTTGTTGTCATCCGCGCACATGCAGAAGTTGACCCCATGTCTGCGGATGATGTCGCCAAGGGAAAGCATATAGATGTCGAAAAGGAGAGCCAAGGGCAGAGCCTTGAGGAACGCCACACGTGACGGTGAGTCACATATCAATGCTCATACTGGTTTTGGATGCTTAAGCAATGTGATGCATTCCTGCATTAGTCAGACACCAACCAACCAAAACAAAAAGTGGATTTCTGATTTTTTTCAGGATATTTTTTAAAGGCACAGTCAAAAAGATAGAATAAAGTTAAGACAGGGAATGCACAAAACAAACGGATTTGGGGAGTTCCGGAAAATAGAAGCATAATGGGGAAAGTTAGTGCTGGGATGGAAGGTAAAATTCAGCCACTGTAAATTTAGGGAAAGCTAATGGAAGTCACACACTCCTAAAGTGTGCATCCCACATCCTCTTCAAATTACTGCACTTAACCTTACTTTCAAAGCCAAATCTTTGTCTCCTTGACACACTCCCTCTAAATTGTGTCCCCCATGCCCATTACTCACCAGTATTCTACCTAAAGGAATTTAGTCCTGGTCTAGTCAATCCCTGTCCTTAGCAGCTCATGTAGTTCAAAGTTCAGCCCATCAATCAGATTGTGGTTCACCCAATTTCTTACCCTTTAAACTATCTGCTTTACAACACTATATATGTGATTCTCTCTCTCACTGCAGAGATATCTAGTCTTTACATATCGGTGTGAATCTTTCTTTAAACGTGTGCGCCAGTTCAATCACTATGCGCTCTGGGACGCTGCCCTGCACGAGGGGTGCTGTATTAATGCTAGTTATTGTTATTTTTGTCTCAGAAAGTTTGTGTGTTACTCTGTGTGTGTGTGTGTGTGACAGTTTCTATGTGTGTCTTTCACTGGGTCTGTCTAGTTGGGTTTATCTTCTGTGCATATGTATTTTTCTGTGTGTTTTTCCCTCAGTTGCTGTATCTGTGTTCCCCTCTTTCTGCTTGCTTCTCTCACTTTCTCTCCATTTGTGGGTGTCTACTCATCTCTGTTTGTACCTTCCTCTGTCTTTTATTTTTCTGTCTCCCACTGTCTATCTGTCTCTCTATCTGTGTCTATCTGTCTCTGTCCCTGTGTATCTATCCCCCTCTCTGTATCGCTGTGTGTCTCTCTGTCTATTAACCATTCTGCTTATTTAACTATGGCGTTGGATCAGGAAGTAGGGTGATCAAACGTACGGTCAAAGAGGAGGATCTTGAGACAGGTCTTGCAGGAGGTAAGGGAG